GAGCCTGCTTCTCCCTCTGACCCTATCCCCTCTCATGCTGTTTCTCTCTCTCTCTCAAGTAAATAAATAAATAAAATCTTTAAAAAAAAAAAAAAAAGAAATGCCTGTTCATGTCTTCTGCCCATTTTTGCTTGAATTATTCTTTCGGTGTTGAGTTTGATGAACTCTTTATAGATTATGGATACTAGCCCTTTAACTGATAAGACATTTGCAAATATCTTCTCCCATTCTGTGAGTTGTCTTTTGGTTTTGTCGACTGTTTCCTTTGCTGTGCAAAAGCTTTTTATCTTAATGAAGTAACAACAGTTCATTTTTGCCTTTGTTTCCCTTGCCTTTGGAGATGTGTCCAGCAAGAAGTTGCTGCGGCCAAGGTCAAAGAGGTTGTTGCCGGTGTTCTCCTCAAGGATTTTGATGGATTCCTGTCTCACATTTAAGTCTTTCATTCATTTTGAGTTTATTTTTGTGTATGGTGTAAGAAAATGGTCCAGTTTCATTCTTCTAAATGTGGCTGTCCAATTTTCCCAACACATTTATTGAAGAGACTGTTCTTTTTCCACTGGATATTCTTTCCTGTTTTGTCAAAGATTAGTTTGCCATAGAGTTGAGCGTCCATTTCTGGGTTCTCTATTCTGTCCCATTGATCTATGTGTCTGTTTTTGTGCCAGTACCATACTGTCTTGATGATTACAGCTTTGTAATAGAGCTTGAAGTCTGGAAATCTGATGCCACCAGCTTTAGTTTTCTTTTTCAACATTCCTGTGGCTATTTGGGGTCATTTCTGGTTCCATACAAATTTTACGATTATTTGTTCCAGCTCTGTGAAAAAAAGTTGATAGTATTTTGATAGGGATTGCATTGAATGTATTGACTGCTTGAGGTAACATATACATTTTAACAGTATTTGCTCTTCCAATCCATGAGAATGGAACATTTTTCCATTTCTTTGTGTCTTCCTCAATTTCTTTCATGAGTGTTCTATAGGTTTTTGAGTACAGATCCTTTGCCTCTTTGGTTAGGTTTATTCCTAGGTATCATATAGTTTTTGGTGCAATTATAAATGGGATCGACTCCTTAATTTCTCTTTCTTCTGTCTCACTGTTAGTGTATAGAAATGCAATTGATTTCTGTGCATTGATTTTATATTCTGCCACTTTGCTGAATTCCTGTATGAGTTCTAGCAATTTTAGGTTAGGGTCTTTTGGGTTTTCCACATAGTGTATCCTGTCATCATGAAAAAATGCTCAATATGACTCGGCACTGGGGAAATACAAATCAAAACCACAATAAGATACCACTGCACACCAGTCGGAATGGCTAAAATGAACAACTCAGGAAACAACAGATATGGTGAGGGTGTGGAGAAAGGGGAACCCTCTTACACTGTTGGTGGGAATGCAAGCTGGTGCAGCCACTCTGGAAAACACTATGGAGGTTCCTCAAAAAGTTGAAAATAGGGCTACCCTATGACCTAGCAATTGCACTACTAGTTATCTACCACAAAGATACAAATGTAGTGATCCGAAGGGGCACCTACACCCCAATGTTCATAGCAGCAATGTCCACAACAGCCAAACTATGGAAAGAGCCCAGATGTCCATCAACAGATGAATGGATAAAGAAGAGGTAGTATATATATACAATGGAGTACTACTCAGTCATCAAAAAAGAAATGAAATCTTGCCATTTGCAATGACGTGGATGGAACTAGAGGGTATTATGCTAAACTAAATAAGTCAGTCAGAGAAAGACAATTATCATATGATCTCACTGGTATGTGGAATTTAAGAAACAAAACAGAGGACCATAGGGGAAGGAAGGGAAAAATAAAACAAGACGAAATCAGAGAGGGAGACAAACCGTAAGAGACTCTTAATCATAGGAAATAAACTGAAGGTTGCTGGAGGAGGGTAGGGGGATGGGGTAACTGGGTGATGGACATTAAGGAGGGCATGTGATAGAATGAGCACTGGGCATTATGTAAGACTGATAAATCACTGAACTCTACCTCTGAAACTAACAATACACTATATGTTACTTAATTGAATTTAAATTAAAAAAATAAAAAAAATAAGATACCTAAGAATAAATCTAATTAAAGAGGTGAAAGACCTTTACTCTGAAAACTATAAAACACTGACGAGAGAAATTAAAGATGAAAGAAGGAAATAGAAAGACATTCCATGCTCATGGACTGAAAGAACAAATATTGTTAAAATGTCCATACTACCCAAAGCAATCTACATATTTAATGCAATTCCTATCAAAACGCCAACAGCATTTTTCACAGAGCTAGAACAAAACATCTTAAAATTTGCACGGAACCACAAAAGACCCTAAATATCCAAAGCAGTCAAAAAAAGCAAAGCAAAGCTGGAGGCCTCACAGTTCTGGACTTCAATTTATAAAGCTGCAGTGATCAACACAGTACTGACACAAAATCAGACACACAGATCAATGGAAGTGAACAGAAATGAACCTACAACTATTTGGTCAATTAATATTCAATAAAGAAGGAACAAATATCCAGTAGAAAAAAAGACAGTGTTTTCAACAAATGGTGTTGGGAAAATTGGACAGCAACATGCAAGAGAATGAAACTGGACCACTTTCTTACACCATACACAAATATAAATTGTAAATGGATTAAAGACCTAATTGTAAGACAGGAAACCATGAAAATCCTAGAAGAGAATATAGGCAGTAACTTCTCTGACACTGGCCATAGAAACTTCTTTCTAGATATGTCTCCCCAGGCAAGGGAAACAATGGCAAAAATAAACTATTAGGACTTCATCAAAATAAAAAGCTTCTGCACAGTGAGGGAAACAATCAACAAAACTGAAAGGCAACCTATGGGATGGGAGAAGATATCTGCAAATGACATATCTGATAAAGGGTTATTATCCAAAATATATAAAGAACTTATAAAACTCAACACTCAGTAAACAAATAATCCAATTAAAAAGTGGGCAGAAGACATGAATAGATATTTTTCCATGAAGATATACAGATGGCCAACAGACACTTCAACAGATGCTCAACAGCACTCATCATTAGGGGAATACAAATCAAAACTACCACACCTTTCAGAATGGCTAAAATTAGTAACATAAGAAACAACAGGTGTTAGTGAGGATGTGGAGAAAGAGGAACCCTCTTGCACTGTTGGTGGTAATGGAAACAGGTGCAGCCTTTTGGAAAGCAGTACAGAATTTCCTCAAATAGTTAAAAATAGAATTACCCTATGATCCAACAATTCTACTTCTGGGAATTTACCCAAGGAATACAAAAATAGTAATTCATAGGGATACATGCATCCCAATGTTATAGCAGCATTATCTACAGTAGCCAAATTATGGAAACAGTTCAAGTATTCATCAACTGATAATACATAAAGATGTGATATATATATATATATGACTCAACCTTAAAAAAAATGAAATCTTGCCATTTGCAAGAACATGGATGGAACTAGAGAGTATTATGCTCAGTGAAGTAAGTTAGAGATAGACAAATACCACGTGATTTTAATCATATGTGGAATTTAAGAATCAAAACAAATGAGCAAAGGGGAAAAAAGAGACAGAGTGTCAAATCAAGAAACAGCCTCTTAACTATAGAGAACAAACTGATGGTTACCAGAGGGGAGGCGAGTGGGGAGATGGATTAAATAGATGATGCGGATTAAGAACTGCATTTGTTGTACTGAGCCTTGGGTGTTGTATGAAACTGCTGAGTCACTAAATTGTACACCTGAAACTAATATTATACTATATGTTAACTACCTGGAATTTAAATTTAAAAAATCTTTTAAAAAATAAAGTTATCTAAAAGATGATGAAATGATAAATTATAATTTTAATAATAGCTGTATATTTTTTAATTTTATTTTAAATATCATACAGAAAATTGATCTATAGTTCTATCAATTTTAATACATGTATAAAATCCTGTAACCACCAGTACAATCAGGATATGGAAGAGTTCTATCACCGTTAAAAAAAAAAAACAAACTTATGTTACCTCCTTATATTCACACCTTCCCACTCTTAACTCCTGGGAACTACTGATCTGTTTTTTTTTTTTTTTTTTTGTTACTATAGTTTTGTCTTTTTGAGAAAGTTATATGACTAGAATCACAGAATATATAACTCTTTTAGACTGGCTTCATGTCAGATTCATCAAGATTGTTGCATGTGTCAATGGTTTACTCCTTTTATTCGTGAGTATAATTCCTTTGTTTGGATGTGCCAGTTTAATTTACTCCTGAAAGACATTTAGGTTGTTTTCAGCTTTTGGTAATTACAGAGTTACTATAAACATTTATGTACAGATTTTTCATTTTTCCAGGGTAAATATCCAGGAGTGCGATTACTTGGTCTCATGATAAGAGCATGTTTAACTTTATAAGAGAAACTGTCAAATTGTTTTCTAGAATGGCTGTACCATTTTGTACTCCCACCAGCAGTGTATGAGAGTTTCAATTGCTCTCCATTCTTGACTATACTTGGTATGGTCAGTCTTTTTAATTTTAGATATTCTAATACGTGTGTAGTAATATGTCACTGTGATTTTCATTTGCATTTACCTAATAACTAATGATGTTAAACATCTTGAAATCACTCTATTTTTTAAAGCACAGTGTTTATAAAAGTAAACATGCTGTAATACAGAATCTAAAAATCTTCATAGTACCCTATCCTAACAATATTCAATAAAGGATATGAGGTTTTCCCATGACAGTAAAATTCAGAATATAATGGCATTGAAAGAAAAAAAATGTATTTTTTTAAACCCTACCTTTTCTTGCTGAAACCAAGCCTGCCAATCCTGAAACTGTAATCACTCCAAGTTTTGGAAGAAAATCTCGAGGTGGATTCTTCAGATAGATATACGCATCTTTTAAGAAATAAGTTAAAAATTAATATAAATGACTTACTAAAATTAGGCATTCTATATATGATGCAGAAATGCTAAAGAGATTTGCTAAGATAGAAGATGGTTTAAATACTCCTCAAAAAAAGCTACAAAAATAATGATTTGAGCAGCAAATGAAAAAGCTAGTTAAAATAGTTACTTGCTACAAAATTAAAATCTTCCTTCCATAGCTGATTTAATAATTGTTTTCTTAATACAGGCAATTACTCTTTAATGAAATATGATGCTAGAGTTCACACCTTAGCTTGGATTACTATAAAATAAATGCTTGACTGTGTATGTATTTATCTCTCTAATAGAAATGCTTCTGGACTTACCTGTTCAAACTCTGATAGGATCCAGTAGGAATAGAAATACTTTATTAAGGAACTTTGAATAATTGACAAGGGATACATGTAGCTTGTAGGCCCTGCTTGCCATCACTCCCCCATACCCAGAGCAGCTATTGCTCTTGGTTAAAACCAATGATCAGGAGGAGAAGTGAGCCTAGACCAAAAGTAGATGACGAACGGGCACAAGTCTAGATTTCTTGGCTTTTTATATATTTAAATTATTTCTGTTTCCAGACAACCCCCCAAAAAAGACTCTTCTATCACCGTTAATTATTTAATAGCAATCACTTATTTAATCATATTCCTCTTGAGGAATATGAATGCCTACTGTAGGAATACAATTTGGAATTAATTCCTACAAACCTAAGTAATGATAATACATTTACAGGTCATCAACATCATGGAGACATTTAAAATTTTAGCTGAGGGGCGCCTGGGTGGCTCAGTCGGTTAAGCGTCTGCCTTCAGCTCAGGTCATGATCCTGGAGTCCCGGGATCGAGTCCCATATTGGGCTCCCCGCTCAGCGGGGAGTCTGCTTCTCCCTCTGACCCTCCCCCCTCTCATGCTCTCTCTCTCTCATTTCTCTCTCTCTCTCAAATAAATAAAAAAAAATCTTTAAAAATAAAAATTAAAAAAATAAAATTTTAGCTGATCTTTCTGTCTCCCATACACATTTATTTTAACAACTGGCATAGCCCAAGAATATTAGGAAGATATTTCTACTGTCAAATACCATTATCAAAATAAAGAATCAAATACAATTGCTTTCCAACATTAGCTCAAATATTCTAGAGTAACTGATTGGTATTAGTGTTTCCTAGCAATAGATAGCAAAATTCTACAGATTTTAACAGCAAATAGCATCTATTTAAACTAACTGATAACAATGTAGACATGTTTCTAATTTATGCTTTGAGTATATAATATGGGCTTTGCAGCTACAACAGACCTCAGTTTGAGTCCAGGCACTGCCACTTACTAGTTTTGTGACCTTGGCAACCTACTTTACCTTTCTAAACCTCAGTTTCCTTATCTGTAAAAAGGGAATAATTATAGGGGTACCTGGTTGGCTCAGTCAGTTGGGTGTCTGACTCTTGGTTTCCGCTTGGGTCATGATCTCAGGGTCGTGAGATCGAGCCCCATGTCAGGCTCTGTGCTCAGCACGAAGTCTGCTGTCCCTCTCCCTCTGCCTCTCCCCTGCTTCTGCTCACACTCACACTCGCACTCTCTCTCTCTCAAATAAATAAATAAAATCTTGAAGAAAAGGGGAATAATTATAATACCAACACTCATAGAATTGGTATAGAAATTAGATAAATTGTGTAAAATGCTTACCATAGTGCCTTAGCATACAGTAATTGCTTAATAAATGATAGGTGCTATTACTTTGGTATTGTTATCATAAAGTGCTATACAGAGTATCTTCTCAGTTGGTAAAACATGATAATGAATAACTTACCACCTTTATTTTTTCTCATATTTAAACCTTGCAAGTTAAAAAGACAATAGAACATTTCTAATTATGGATGGTTCACTCACCCACCTTTTCCAAATTGTACTGTATCCATTATTCCATTTTTCACAAACACACAAACACCCTAAGCAAAAAGAAAAAAAAAGGACATCTGCATTTTTGAAGATTTTGATAATTAAATCAAATATTCCACATTAATCAATATTAAAATATTGACTTAGCATTGCACTCAAATCTAAATCTAACTTTCCTATTTATTCACATGAGAACTTTTTCATTCTGTTTAACATGGATAATACTTGTTTACTATCTTCCTCATATAAACAAGTAATGCCTATAAGTAGTCAGAGCATCTCACAGATAATTTATTGCAGAAATACAAAGATTTATCATCTTATTTTATAAAGGCTTAGAAAAATGAATGAAATTTAAATAAATCATGGATAGAGGTATTATTTCAGCTTAGAAGCAACATCTGATTAATAAATATGTGGTAGCAACACCGTAATGATTTGTGAAGAAAGTAGTAACAACAAATCTAAAGAAAGTACTTCATCCTCTCCTTTTTCTTAGTGTGCATTAGAATGGCAAAAAACCCTAAATAAGACATTTATCTCAGGACAGAAATCATCCTACACACACTAGTGTTTATATTATTTTTACATAGGAATATAAATTCTCTACAAATCAAGATTATATTAACCCATTGAAGTGATTAAAGTTTTAAATCAAATTTGCTCTTTTACCTATTTCTAACTAATTTATTTTAATGCAAGAAATATGGTTACATTCATTTACTGAGTGATAGGTACCATCTCAATTACATCAGAAGAAAAATGAAGGCAGAGAATGATTTACCCATAGTCATGCTGTACTCTATTGAAGAAACCAGAAAACATAACTGAAATATATGGTCTCTATCTCTGAACTAGCTGCTATGAAATCATGGTATAAAAACGAAAACGATTTTTAAAGCAAAGAACATAGAAGTAGTTATATTACACAGTAAAGAAATAAGTCATTACTATTGTGATATCTCGGTATTAGTAACCTTATTTCAGATATTTTCATGATGATCAGAGATGTAGAGGTTCATCCCTTCATCATGGTTTCAAGCTGTACAAACCGGCACAGACCTTAACTGTCACTGAGTTACTTCTCTTTAAAGACTCTCTTGAGAAAACCTCACCTTTGAAGTTATAATACCTATTGATTGGTTGACTGAAAATCATGTAGCTGTTGAGGAAGAAAACCAGTCACTTCTTTTGGGAAGTTTTCCTTAGCTTGTTTAGGAATTCACTTTTACCACTGTGGCTCACTGCTACCTAAATTTGAAAACACTAAGGAGAGGAGGAGAAACTGAATTTGCCCTGCAAGATTCTAAGTTTAATGCAGAATGCAATTTGACTCAGAAGCAATTTTTAAAGAATAGATTATGTTTTTAGGGGAAAATCAGAAAAAGTTATTTACACTGGAGATGAAATGCATTCAAAGTGTCCTTCTTCAACCTATTCACCTTTCTTTTAGTCTTAAATAGGGTGATAGTAACAATAGCAATTTAAGGATCTTTCCGGAACAATTTACCTCACGAAAACAAATTTGAGAACACTATGGAAAATTAGGTCTCAGAAGGCTTAAGTATGAATCACCCGGCTGTTGGTATATAGCAATAGAGGCATGATTCAAACCCTAATTAGTTAATATATTTTCCTCTGAGATCAAACTATTAAGAGTGTATAATACAACTAATACTATTAGAGTTGTTTGACAGACACAAATTTTTAAAAATTACACCATGTATTCATCAGATGTTTTAAATATCTGGAATGACCAGAATTTACATTTAGTGTTTCATAAAATCATTAGAATCTTTTTTAAAAAAAGAATGGATTAGAAACAAAAAAGAACAAGAGTTTACAATTGGATAGGTTATATCTGAGAAAAAGTTGTGTGGTTATTAGGTCAGAATGATGAAACTGACATTAGAGATGTTGATGCTAACACACCTATGTTGATGTGAGGATAATGAAATATCAATATTTTATCAGCTTACTCCATCACTCTGCTGCTAGATAATGCTGACTTAAAGCTAAGTATTAAAGTCAGATGAATTTTATTTTTCCCAATAGCTGACTATATTCAGAATGGTCTTATGAGGTAAATCCAACTAGTTAACATTTTGCTTATCCAAGTAAGGAACAATTGAGAAATAATTTCAGAACTTCTTGTAAGTAGCCAAACAACTATACATGAAAAATAACATAAATGCTTGCTGAACTATCATAATCTATGTAGTAGTGGTACAGTAGGTTAAATATTATTAAATATGGCCACAATTCTTTGCTGCTACTCATATTGAGAGGTGGCATCTAATTTCACTCCCTTTAAAATTGGGTTGGCCTTTGTGACTTAACAATAGAATGCTGTAGAAGTAACTTTCTTGGACATCTGATGATAAATAAGCAGCTTAGTAAATTCTGCCAAGGGCCTCTTATAAGAGCCTCGAACTGCCTGTGTAAGTTATCTGACTATGCTGAGATCACCATGCCTGATAGGTCACATGTAGGTGCTTTAGTCAACATTCCTAGCTAAGCCTAGCCTTCTAGCTATCTGTGACAAGGTACTAAAGATGAGAATGAAACTGTCTTAGGGCCTCTAGATCAACCCATTCACCTGATGAATGTCACTGAGTAACCTCTGTCATTACCAAATGCAACAGAAGAATCACCTGTCTGAACAAATCAGAAACCTCCAACATTAAACCAGTATTAGAACTTACTTACCTTGCACCAGCCAATATAATGACCAGTTGTAGTGCGGATGGATGCAAAGCCCATTTGTAAACGACCAGGCTGTTCTTCAACATATTTAGACTGCAGAGGTGGTGCAGTATATATGGGGAGCTAGAGGCAAAAAAAGTTCATGTTAAAAATATGAAACAGCTGGAATTCCTTTTTCAGTAAAACAGAAGAGAAGTCATCAACCTTCCTGCTAAAAGCAACTAAAAATGCTGATAAAATATTTTTAAAAAACACCTTAAATGGTAGAAATGATCCAGAAAGCTGTTTATAAAGACTGTTCAGATGCCTAGATTAAAAATCAACAGAAATGCAGAGATAAACAATAAAGTCAGCTTTTACCTTGTAATCATTTGCTTTAAAATAGGATGGTTCAAGAGTCTGGAATCAGGAAACAAAACGTGGAAAAAGCTTACGGTGGGCAACCTTAGTGGGGACCCTATTAGTTGGTATCTCAAAGTTTTACATCCTCAACTTAAGAGTGAACTAGAAATAAACAGTTCACTCCAAAGAACTGTAAGGAAAATTGACTGTCTCAAAGATTGGGCATCAAGTAGAGAGGAAAGAAATATTTCCTAAGATTTGGCAAACACAAGTGAGAGCTCATATAACCTGCAGAATAAAACTAACTGGATAATCTGAGAAATCTCAAACAAGAATACATTTAAAGTACTCCCAAGCTAGTAGCCTCCACATATACTTGGCAGAAACAAAATAAATATCTCCCCTCTGGAGGAAGCTACCAAGATGTCAAGGAATTACAACAGATAAAGTTCCAAGAAATATGAACCCATAATTAAAAAAAAAAAATAGAAAACACAAAGAAGGAAAAGAAAGTTAGAAAACACAAGGAATGTATCTGGACAAGACATAGCAGAAACAACAAACGGACTCTGATCCACAAAGAATGTATATGTTATAATATATAATATCAAATAAATTTATTTTTGTTTTTAAAGAAATAAATGAAGGACCTATGGGTTAAGAGGAAGAGACTACAAAAATTACCAAAACTAACGAAAACAGAGAACTTCTGGAACTGGAAATTAAAAACGTAAATAAAGATCTCAATTGGGAGGCTGGGAAGATGGCCAAGTAGAAGGACCCTAAGTTTGCTTGGTCCCACAGATACAACTAAATAACACTGATGTAAGTGTAAAATAACCCCAAAAATGATGCAAACACTGGCAGAACAAATTCCATGAGTAAGGTAGAGAAGAGACCACCACAAAAAGGGTAGGATGGGCAGAGACATGGTGGGGAGCTAAAAGGGCCCTGGGCATCCAGTCAAGAGGGAGCCTAGGGGATAGAGAAGGGCAAGAAAAAAAAAAAAAAGACTATCACAGTGGGGAGCTTGCATGGGGAAAACAAAGCCCCCAAACATTTGGTTTTGAAAGCAAGAGGGGTCAAATTTTGTGAGTTCTTAAAACCAGAGGGACTTAAAGCTTGGAATGTTAAAAATCAGTCTTGGCTCTTGGAGACCCCTGAGAGCATTAGGAAGCTGAGTCCTACCCTTAAAGAGACAGCATTAGAAGCAGCCTGCTGAGATCGAGTGTAGCAGCATCAGTGTGGAAAACGCCTGGTGCAGACAGGAAGGAGAGTTCTTTACTCATCTCAGAACACATCCCATATACGCAGGGATCCCAGGGAGGCCCTTCCAGGAATAAAGGAGCTGGCAGGTGACATTTCCCTCCCCTGTCTCTTAGAATAAACGCAAGGCCGCCTGAAGGAACAAGTGCAATGCTGACACTCACTACTTTCTTACACCAAGCCCTCCGCCCTGTGATTTGGCAGTCATGTTTGCCTCAGTCCCAGAACTTCAGGTCCCCTCCCCCAGAAGACTAGCATAAACCTCACCAATAATGCATCCCCTGACCCGCACATTTTGCAGGGCCTTAGTCCTGGCAGTAGTGGCTGATCACCACCTGGGGACTATGTGCACACATTGCTAAAACTATGGGCCCTAACCATGCATGGTTTTTGAACCAATCCCATACAGCCCCAGTCTCAGAACCCACCAGTACCACCTTGATAAAAGTGGGCAGCCTGCCCACTACTTTCAAGAGCAGGAGACATAGCTGACTTTCCTAACACACAGAAACAAAGAGTTAGACAAAATGAAGACTCAAGAGAAATATGTCCCAAATGAAAGAACAGGACCAAACCACATCAAGAGAACTAAGTGAAACAGATACAAGTAGAATGCTAGATATAGAATTTAAAGTAATTATCATAAAAATATGCACTAGATTTGAGAAAAGAGTGGAGGATATCAGTGAAAAGCTTAACAAATAGACAAACATGAACCAATCAGAGATGAAGAACACAATGCATGAAATGAAAAATAAACTTGACGGAATTAATAGCAGGCTAGAGGAAGCAGAGAAACAAATTAATGACCTGGAAGACAGAGTAATGAAAAGTAATCAAACTAAGCCATTGAGAAAAGAAATATGCAAAATGAGGATAGACTTAGGAAACTCAGTGACTCCATCAAATTCATTATATTCACATTGTATGGACCTGAGAAGAAAAGGGGGACAGAAAAGTGTTTTGAAGCAATAACAGCTGAAAAATTCCCTAATCTGGGAAACATATCCAGATCCAGAAGGCACAGATATCCCCCAAAAATTCATCCCAAGGAGGTCCACACCCAAGACACATAATGGGGGGGAGATGACGGAGGAGTAGGGGACCCTATTCCAACCAGTCCCTGGAATTGAGGTGGGTATCTACGAGACCTCTGAACACCCAGGAAATCAGCCTAAGATGTAAGAAGACAGATGTGGCTCTCTACAAACAGAGTATTACAGGAGGTTGGTTTCGAGGTAAGAAGCAGGGAGCCATGATTCTGTGGGCAGATATCGGAGGATAAACGGAAGGGGGAGGGAGTCTGGCGGTGGGGATCCTACACTGCTGGTGAGTGAAAGCCTCATGCACTGGGGACGGGACATAGACTCGCAGACCAGTAGCAACGGGAAAAGGACTTTAGGGCAGCCCCCAGACGGAAACCCGGAGTGGCGGGGCTGGCGGTTTTAGAAGCACAAAGGGCAGAGACGTGCCCCAACCTGAAGGCGAGGATTGGGAATGCTGCTGAGGGGAACATAACCCAGGACTGCAGTTTATGGCAGCACTGACAGAAACAGAGATAGTGTGGCCTGGAGAGCTCAGTGACATACAGAACAGACTGTGATCTCCTTGCTCTGAGGAAGACAGTTGGAAACAGTGTCTTCTGCTCTGACTCTTAGAAGAGACACGGACGCCAGGGAAAGCTGCCAGAGAACAAAAACCCCAAAAAACCGGTTCTCACTAAGCCCAAAACCCACCACAGGGGTCAGGGCAACTCTGCCCAAACAGGGTTGCCTGAGTAACAGCATGGCAGGCCCCTCCCCCAGAAGACAGGCTGGGAAAACAAGAGGCCAGCAACCCTAAGGCCCCTAGAAAACAGGTGCATCTTGCTTGGGTTCTGGTCAATAATTTGGACACTGTACATTCCCTCAACCACCCCTCAACAGAATGACTAGGAGGAAGAACCCCCAAAATAGGAAAGACTCAGAGATTATGACTTATGCCACAGATTTACAAATGGATGCAGGTATAACCAAATGTCGGAGATGGAATTCAGGCTAGCAGTTGTGAAGACAATAGCTAGAATGGAGTAATCGATTAATGGCAACAAAGTGTCTCTAAGGGCAGAAATGAAAGCTGAACTGGCAGAACTTAAAAATGCTATCAATGAGAAACAATCTAAATTAGATAACCTAACACCTACGGTAAGTGAGGCAGAACAAATTAGTGACCTAGAAGACCAAATAATAGACAAAAAGGGAAAAGAGGAGGCCAGGGAAAAACAACTCAGAAAACATGAAAATAAAATCAGAGAAATAAGGGACACCATGAAACGTTCCAATGTCAGAATTATTGGAATCCCAGAAGAGGTGGAGACAGAGAGGACTAGAAGATATATTTGAGCAAATCGTACCAAAGAACTTCCTTAATCTGGAGAATGAAACATTCATACCACAGAGGCAGAGAGGACACCTCCTAAGATCAAGGAAAACAGGCCAATGCCCCAGCATGTAATCGTAAAACTCGCAAATCTTAGAAACAAGGAAACCATCTTAAGGGCAGTTAGGGGGAAGAGATTCCTTACGTACAGACGGAGGAACATCAGAATAATATCAGACCTATCCACAGAGACCTGGCAAGCCAGAAAGGCCTGGCAAGACATATTCAGGGTACTAAACAAGAGGAACATGCAGCCAAGAATACTTTATCCAGCAAGGCTGTCATTTAGAACGGATGGAGAGATGCAGAGCTTCCAGAATGGGAGAAACTCAAAGAATATGTGACCACTAAGCTGGCACTGCCAGAAATATTAAGGGGGGTTATATAAAAGGAGAAAGACCACACGGTGATATAGAAAAGAAATTTACAGGGACAATCTATAAAAACAGGTCTTCACAGACAACATGATGACAATTAATTCATATCTTTCAATAATCACTCTCAATGTGAACGGCCTAAATGCTCCCATAAAACAGCACAAGGCTGCAGGAACCATACATATGCTATCTACAAGAGACTCATTGTGAACCTAAAGATATATCCAGACTGAA